GTTCTACGAATGCACGATATAATACTTTTAAATTCATTATTAATCAATTTTAATTTCATACATATGAAAAATAATGCACTAAACCATTTGCTTGAAGAAATGTCATTAAGACTGATATAATTGTATTTCAAAATCAGCGAGTAGCACACGAATGGTTTTTTATCTTTTATCGACAGAAATATCAAAAAATCAATTAAATAAGGGTAGAATTTTTATTGAAACATTTATTATTGATATTTATAATTTATGATCTTCAGTAATATATTGCAATAACTAGTTGAGATTCTTGAGTTTACTTGTATATTAAAGCCACATAAACATTTTTTCATGTATATTTCAGTTACGTATTTTTCATAAATATTTTCAGTACCCAACAACCATCACAGGGGGTCAGTTTAATCTTTCACTTGAAGATGATCACTTGGTAATTGAAATCCGTGTCGAGGTGTTAAAAATGACTGTTTGGTGTTGGGATAAATCTTCAGTAATATTCATTATTATTGATGTTTGACATCTGCCAGACGTCCCATGATGGCTCACAGTTTTTTTTATCAAAATGCTATGAATAATTATTTAAAGAAAAATCATCTTACCAAAGTATCAACACCTTTTGTAATATAATCAACTAATTACATACATCATCATTCTGTTATGAAAAAGGAATCTTCGTCAACTCCTGTTAAAAATAATTTCGATGCATCAAGTCATTTCGTGAAAAAAACTTCTTTGCATGAAACTTTGAATGTAGGAATAAATTTACAAAATCACTTGGTTAAATTATACTTATGTATAAGGCTATGTATCAGAAAAATATACATAATGATATGGTAAATTATACCTATGTATTAGGATGTGTATCAGAAAAATATACATAATGATATGGTTATCAGAAAAAAAGCATCGCAATTCAATCGAAAATTACCAGCTCAATATGATTACATTTTGAGATGCCCCTTCACCGTATTTATCAATACGTGCCTTACATCAACAAGCAAATTACTATTTTATTAGCCTTTCACTTCACAATGCTTGCGTCATTGGATATACACTGTGTCCGTAAAGTATGGAACAAATTCATTTTTAGCTAAACAGGTCATTTTAAGAAATAATCCTGAAACACGTCGATTTTCGATGTTAATTTACCGTATTTTAAAATAATAATCTAATATACAGGGTGAATTACGTTCGAGTAATGACGTCACCGTCATTTTTTTAAATGGAACACCCCCATTTTGTCTAAATTTTCGGATTATTGATTCCAATTGGTACAGGGTGGACCAAAATACAGTAGTTGTAGTTGTATAAAGTAACGCGTAACATTCTTCATTAGGTAAATTAACAATATCATCAAAAATACTTATTGTCTAGCGGACAGAATATGCTGTTCGAACTGCAGCCCTTGCTGTATTTGACAGTAACCCAAACGGTGTACAAATTCTTGTTGAACCTTGTGTATGGTTTTTTGCGTAATATTGTTTATTTCTGTTCGAATTTTCACTTGTACATCTTCAATATTTGCTGGTTTCGTTTTATAAATAACATTCTTCAGATG